GATCTGAAGTGTCCCCCAAAAGCTTGTGTGTTGAAGGCTTGGTCCCACTGCAGCAATGTTCAGAGGTGGGAAGTTGGGGATGTTATTAGATAATGAAGGATCTGATCTGATTAATGGACTAATCCATTGATGGGTTCATAATTTAATGGACCCTTTGGAAAGTGGCAGAAAGACAGGCAGTAGGACCTAGTTGGAGACAAGTATGTCACTGGAGGCATGAGCTGGAGGGGTATATCTTGCCTCCTTCTTTTCTCTCTCATTATCTGTCTCACATTCTCTCCCTCCTTGTGTCTCTCCCCTTCTCCTCTTTCCCCCTCCTCTCCACCTCCCCCTTTCTCTCGCACTTTCTTTCTTGGCTCTCACTCTCTTCCCTCACCATGGCACAAGCAATTTTCTTTGTCACACTCTTCATCATGCACCATGATGCTCTGCCTCCCCACAGGCTCAGGAACAAAAGCCTGAGTGAAACCTCTAAAACCATACACCAAACAAATCATTTCTCTTCTTTTTAATGATTAGATGAAGCTGGCGAGAGAGGGTATGGTTCAGGATGAGCAGCACTTTTCTGACATCAGTAACTAGATAAACAGAAGTTCCATTCACCAGTCACGTAAAAAGAACAAGTGAATTTGAAGAAAAGATGGCAAGTTCAACTTTTGTACAAATGACTTGAAGGACCTGCTGGGTAGACAGACATAATTATAAGGTAGTCCTGCATGTTAGTTGAGAGCCCAGGAAAGGGGTGTGGGTTAAAGATGCAGCATCAGTAATGAGTACGTGTCCTGAAAGAGCTTTAAATTACCCAGAGAGAGTGTAGAAGGAGGTAAGAGAAATGATAAGTGCAGAACCCTTAGTAAAACAAAAACTAATGCATGGCAAAGAATACAAGCCAGCCAATGAGCTAAGGAAAGAGAAGAGAGGTACAAATAAAGTGAAGGGGGAGAACTTCCAGGAAGACAGACATACACTGTCCTAGAGTGAAAAATCTAAAAATATGCCAGGCTGTCTCCTAGATAGATGCAAGCAAACAAAATATTTGCTCATTCTGATAGCTCTGTTAGTGACTTCCCTATTTCTTTCCTTCCTCTGAGGGCTAAACTTGTTGAAAGAGGTGTTTTCCATTTCGTCTCCAATTCCTCATCGCAACTCTCCCCCTAGAATCCAGCAGTATGGTTTCTGCCTTTTTCATTTTACCTCATTTTCTTGATTTCTCAAGGATCTTCAGGCCATCTTATCAATGGCTTTTTCTCAGCCTAGTCTTTTGTAGATAATACAAGGAAGCACCAGTAGGAGTACAGGAGAGTAAGAAAGAACAGAGAAGCCCATAAAGGGCATTCTATCAAGTCAGTAACCTCGGTGAGAATTCAAGTTTCATTCTGATACAGAACTCTAATTAGTTTAGAGAATGGGCTCATCATAAGGGATGAGGGATATGAGGTATTTAATATACTAACTGTAGGTAGCCTTTGGTTGTGGACTTCTGCACCAGAGAGAGGAGGGGGAAGCATTAATTTCCCAGCACTTGTGGCTCAACACTGCTGAGGCAGAGTGGGAGCCAGCCGCCGAAAGCCCTCAGAAAGCTGGAGTCAAGAATCCTGCTTTATAACTGCAAGACCTGAGAGTATATGGACAGGACACTAAGTGGGGCTGCTATAACCCTTCTTGGTATCTCATATATATATATATATATATATGAGAAATATATATATATATATATATTTTTTTTTTTAACTCTACCCACCACTTTTCTTGAAGTATTCTCTTTCTTTGATTTTATCCTGGTACCTTAATCTGCTTGTCATTTTCTTCTTTGACCTCCTTATCCCCTTGAATAATTATTTTTCCTCCTAAACAGAAGTAAAGCAGAAAGTGAAACTCCAGCCCTCAGCCTTCTGTTCTTTGTTTCTGTACAGATTGATTTGGATTTTTTTTATCCTTATTACCTCAAGTCTCGCTTTTATGTAGATTACTCCCAGTATGGTGTATATAATTATGCTCAATGACTTAGCAGTTGAGATCAAGACTTATTTAAAGGTCTTCAAGAGGAAAAATAAAAAGGCTTTGGTTATCTTTTGTAACTCAACAGACTAAAAAATCTATAAAAGTCTGCTGGGAGTCATTCAGGAATTACAATTCCCGCTGACAGTGTAAGAAGCAGGCTCAATATGTGACTCAGCTTGCAATCAATGGAGCATTATGCTTCAAGGAAATAGGAAATTCTTATACCAATTTAGAATTTGTTACTAAATCTAGCCTGATTCTTTGTCCAGAAAGAAGTTCGGCTCCCTTTTGGCAAGGTCTGAGCTCTTGGGGTCTTTGCCTATTTCAAGAGGAGAACCAAGATTAACAATGTTTGCTCTCAAGAAAAGCAATATGATGCATGTCTTTAAATTAGGCTTTTGTGCGGGCAGGGGGAGAAAAAGGCAGAGAGAAACAAAGACAGAGAGAGACAGATGACTGTGGAGGTAAACAGGGGAAGTGAGGAGCTGGAGGGTATGCGAAGACCAAGAGATGGGTGGGTGAGCAGCAGGATCCTTGTTCTAGCTCCATCCATCCCACTGGCCCCTCAGTGAGCGGTGGGGAAGGGAGGGACGGTGTTTAATCTTTCAATCATTATTTGCAAATTTCCTTCAGCTCTGCCTCTAGCTCATAGTTAAGAATAGAGCCCTAAAAATTTTATTGAAATCTCTGAGCACATGGGAGAAGTTTGACAAGCCCTCAAATTCTGATTCCTGATATTTTATGGCATATTTCTTAATGTTTTGCTTTTATTTTCTTTCCAGAAGTTTGAAGATGTTGTTTCTCCCCAGCATTCTAAACTTTTGTTAAGATATATGCCTTGTGAATACTGTGCTGGGTAATCACTCACACCCAATCTGCAAACTCCTGAATATTGTCCTGAATTATTTCAAGGATTATTTCTTCCCCTCTATTTTCTCTATTTGTTCTCTGTGGACTCTTTTTTGGGGGGATTATTGGGTTTTCTGATCAGGTCTTCTAATTTTCTTATCTTTTCTGTCCTATATTTCATTTTTAATTTTTGGCCTTTTTGTTGTATACTAAAGGAGATATTCTTTCACCCTTTTTGCTGTTTGTTTTAATTTCTGTCACATGTGTCAAATTTTCTGGGGTCCTTCATGTTCTCTGAATATTCCTTTTGATGAACATACCATTTTCACTTTCACTGATATAATATCTACCTATCTGGGGATTCCTGTGAGTTTTAAAAATAGCTTTTTTCTCATTTTCCTGAATAGTGTCAGTTTCCTCAAAGTTATCTTCACCTATTTGTTTTATTCAGTGGTCTCTCTGAGGCTTTCCTCAGATGCTTTGTGATTTTGGCTTCTTTTTAAAATTAAGAATCAGGAATAAAAGACTGATTGGAAGTTCTGAAAGCATAGGTTGGGACTTGTGAACTTCCGATTTCTCTGTACACTGGTCTCACAAACTAATTGGGAAATCTTTTTCTGAGACAGGATCTCGCCATGAAGTTCAGGCTGGCCTTGAGCTCAATTTGTAGCCTAGGCTGGCCTCAAACTCACAGTGATCCTCCTGCCTCAGCCTCCTGAGTGCTGGGATTACAAGTGTGTGCCACCACGCCTGGCTTAGTTGGGAAATCATTGTTAGAAACATAATTATATACACCACACTGGCAGTTTCTCTTGGGACTATAAGATATTCAGAGAAGAATGCTCTGACTAGCTACAGGGCTGGCTACCAGGATTTGGGGAGCCAAGCAGAGGAGGACTAACGGTTTCAACACTCAGCCCTTAAGCCTTTACATAATGCTCCTGTTTTCCATCTGCAGCTCCCAGTCCTCAGTCATGTCCGATGTCTCCCAGGGTAAGTATGCAGAGTTTTCTTCTCCAGAGAACAAATTTCTGAGAAGAAAGCCTTTCAGTCTTCTATTAGGGTGGGGGATGGGGAGTGTCCCTGCTGCACATTTTGGGGAAAAGCACCTGGGAATCTGATAGCTTCTTAAACAAACTTTTAATCTTTTTTATCTCAGCTCTTGGTTAGCCCCACCTGGAGAGATGCCTGGTGCTACCAATTTCTGAGATTTAGGCTTCGGTTTATGAATCTGCTAAACCAATCTACTAAGCCAGTTTAGCACTCGTCTGGGCCTTTTCTAATTTCTAAAATTTGCTTATCTCCTTTCCCTTCCTGTTTGTTCTTATGCACTTATATGTGTGTTTTTTAAAAAATCCCTTCCTGGGGTTTTAAGTGAGATTTTGAGACAGTGAAATTACTTATGCTTTCTATTTGTCTCTGAATTTAGATGACCTGGGAGAAAACCTTGAGTCTTCCACCCTTTTAGGGCTCTTCTCCAGAAACAGGTGATCAGGAAAGAAGCCTGGGTCCCTAGAGGAGCATCTGAAGAAGGGAATCCTGTGAGCCTAGAACACTCAACTTTCCCTCAGCCTAAAGCGGATGAGAGTTCCTGCGGTTCAGTGTATACTGCCCCTTAAGACTGTGAATCTGCTATCTGAGGCTCACTGGAGATTACAGGGGAGGGTCTGGACTGACAAAGATTCTTTGGCCAAACTCCAGCCAGCCTCCTGAAATTTTCTGAGCCATTTGTGCCTTTCCTTGGAAAATTCAACTTTAGCAAACAACCTGCCCCCATATCTGACTATTCTCAGTATCTGATTGGCCTCTACATTGTTTGCCACCTGCTTGGTGATGGCTCTTTCCCTGGTTGGTCTTCAGCAAGAATTCAGTTAGGCTGGCTTAGTCAGACCCATTACCCGCCTTCTTAGTAATTTTCATTCCACTGACCAACACGTACTTCTTAGCTATAATTTCCCACTTGCCTATGCAATGCTTAGAGTGGAGTCCAATCTCTCTCCACCACCACTACACTTATCACAATAATCCTGAGTAAAGTATTCCTAGTCATGCTTTAACAAGGATGATTATTTTTTTTTCTTTAACGGAACCCACATCAGATTTTGCCCTCCAAGATTCAGATCACTCTGCAGCTTCCTACCTATACTTACATCTCTTCTTTTGCCCCATTTAGCCTGATTTCCTGCCAATCTGTCTTGTGTGAGGAAGATAAAAACTCTTCACTGAGAATCTGACATTCACAAACTATTGAATTAAAACCAGTTTCTTAGAAAATCAGAATGCTGGAGATGTAAGAACTTAGAGAATATCAAGTTTAAATGTGCCATTCTAAAATTGAGGAACTGATAGTTCCAGAGGGGTTAATTGGTTTGTTCAAGGTCTCACAGGTGACCCAGCAGCAGAGCTAACAATAGAAATCAGCCCTCCCATCCTTAGTCAGGAATCTGTGCCCAACACCACCTGCCGTGTGGGCAGACTGCCAGTCTGCATGTCCCCACCTCTTTAAAGATCATTAAAACGGTTTATAAACTGCCTTATGGCTGAAGCAGAGAGTTCACTCATTTTTATCATATTGATTATTATTTTAAATAATATTAAAATGCCCAGTATGAGCAATTACATTTTGAGTTTTAAAAGGAAATAAGTCTTTAAGGATTAATGGAGAAGGAAGTTATTGCACATTTAGAAAATTTGGCAGCCGGCTGGCTGTTCTTCATGTTTAGAGAAGGTGCAGAGAGGGCTGGTGTGCAGCTCAGTGGAACAACACTTTTGTCTGAGTTACTTTTCTCTCATTACTAAGACAAAATACCTGATGCCCAAAGTTAAAGGGGGAGAGGTTTATTTAGCTCACAGTTTTTAGAGGTTTCTGTCTGTAATTGGCTGGCTCCAAGGCAGGGTGACTTGGCAGAGGAGCAACACAGGAAAGAATCAGTTCATGCAAGCAGAGAACAGCAAAAGCAAGGAAGGAAGAAGACAAGCCTCTTTCTGTCCCTTACATTGTATCAAGGCTACCAGGATTAGGGTGGTCCCAAAGCAATCAGTGGACTGATTTAGTAATCACCCACCCTTAATCCTAGCACACTTAATCCTAGTATTGCATCGTGAATCAATTACATACTCTAGATTCAGCCTCCTCTGAAAAAAACCCCACTTATGACTGCTTGAGGCCTTGGGCAACATGTAGACACAACCCATAACAACTTTACTTTGCATATGTAAGGCTCTGAGTTTGATCCCCAGCAAAACACACACACACACACACACACACACAGAGAGAGAGAGAGAGAGAGAGAGAGAGAGAGAGAGAGAGAGAGAGATAAAGGTAAAGGGGGTTGAGAGGATGATTAAATTAAGGAGCAGGGATCAAAAGTAAGAAGCCAAGGTGGGCTACCTGTGCCCTAATACTTACATGCATTGTAGTCCTGGTGATCTCATTTCAGATGCTATAGTTTGAGTCTTAAATGTCCCCCAAAGGCCATGTGTTAAATGATTAGTACTTGGTACTGTTGGGATACGATGGAAACTTTAAGAATTGGGCCCAATGTGGGGTCTTCCAATCTTTGTGTCATGCCCTTGAAAGCTATATTGGGACCCCAGCCCCTTCCTCTTCCTTTCCTTCATACCTTGTCATGAGGTAATGGTTTTGCACCACCATGTGCTCCCACCATGATGTGATGCCTTGTCACAGGCCCAAAAGCAATGGGGTCAATTAATTGATCATGCACTGAATTATCCAAAACTGTGAGTCAAAATAAACTTTTCCTCTTTTTAAAATTGATAATCTTACAGTAATGGAAAACTGACTAACATTCCCCTCCCACTTTCTTTTTGTTTGTATTTGCACACATACAAGCAGGAGATTCCCAGGCAATGGGTAGACCTGGGTATATTAAGTGCAGCTACTAGGATATCATTTAAAATGAAATTTCCCAGAGCAGGGGTTGGGAGTCACAAAGATCCTAGTGGGGAAATATGGACTATGGGGAAGAGTTGCTAAGATTAAGTTGTTTCTGTAAATGCTTGTTGAGCAGCAAGTCAAATTCGGTCTGTTAGATATCGGAAGTGGTAGATATTTGCTCTTTTTAGCAAATCCAACACGTATTTCTTCTTTTCTTGGTAGTGTTTTCCATATTTATTCCCATGTTCAGTGTGCTTTGGATGCTACCCTTCCACTGACTTAGATATGGAATATTGATAAGAGATACAGTGTTTCTATTAGGTGAATAAATACCAGTCACCACAGCAACAAGACCAGGGAAGAACAAGTCTAACCAAACTAAACCTAGTACTTTGGTTCAACCGTTGGGGGAGGAGAAGTGCTAGTCTTCTTTCCATGTGAACAGGGAAGTACATGGGTCCAGGAGCCTCTGGCCATCATCTTAGAACTACATGGAGAAAAGCCCATCAAGAATGGAGCTGACAGTGGGGAAAACAGAATTGAGAAATGGAGACACTGGGTCCTGATCCCTTGGTGTCAGCAGCTGAATAGCACCCAGCTTAGAATTCTCGACTGTTCAGTTACATGAACAATTATATTCCCTTATTGCTCAGGTCAGTCTATTTCACTGACTATGGAGGTCATATGCATAAAAATGCAAAAAAGAACAGAATGTTGATATAGTCTTTTAAATGAGGTTAAATAATCTGGGCATAGGGGTACATGCCTATAATCCCAGCACTCTGGGAAGCTGAAGCAGGAGGACCCCAGGTTTGAGCCCAGCCTGGCAATTTAGCAACTTAATGAGACTCTGTCTCAGAATAAAAAAAATATAAAAGGGCTGCTTCAGTGTGAAGGCTCTGAGTTCCTTTCCCAGGAAAGGGAGGGAATTTTTAATAAGAAAAGATAAGTGCTAGGGTTTAGCTTTTTACTTGAGTGAGGACAGGAAAAGAAAGAAGACAGACAATGGGCAAGCAGGAGACTCTTACAGTACAACTTTAACTTTCTACGCTTAAAATTCCAGGAAGAAATGCCAGGAAGGTTATTAAATAGACTACGAAGAAAGCTGAAAGTAGAGGGAGTTGGATTCTCCTTGGAACTATAGAGGAGAAAGCCTCAGAGCCAGCTCTGCACCCACCCAGCATGGCTACAGCTGAGGGAAAGAGTAGTCCGGCACCGACAGGCGCAGTGGGGGCGGGGCTGATACTCCTGACCCCAGTCAGAGCGCTGTGTGGTGTGGTCGGGACATGGAACTTAATGCATATACTGAGGAAGCGATACTTGGAAATTAGCTGCAGTAGCTGAAGCGGGTCTGTCCCGAGGTTCATGCTGGTGCAAGAGACGACCTTGTAGCCGAAAGTCTCAGGCAGATGACCTGTGCTGGAGTCCTCTGGGAGTTACAGCCAGACGTTAGTGGACTCCACAGTGCCAGTGATGACCAGCAGTGCCAAGACAAGCTCCACGGTTGCATCTGCTTGGCTTTGTTTACTGATGATTCCTCATGCAATTGAATTTTTTATTTTGATGCTTGAAGGAATGTTTATGTGTTCGTATTTTTAAGTTGATATTTTATCGTGGTATAAATATACACCGTCATAAACTGTACCCCTTTAATCCTTTTCCCCAGGGTCTCATGCATGGTAAGGGTGAACTCTAGCCCTGGGCTACACTGCAAGTCCCAGTTTAACCATCTTTAAGTGGGTAGTTTTATGGCATAAAGTCCATTCATATTGCTGCCCATTGTTGTGTTGCTGGTCACATCTCCAGACCTTTCTCTTCCCCACCTGAAACTCTGCACCCACTAAACGCTAAGTCCTCGCTCTCCACCCTTGGCCCCAGATGGCACAGTTCTGTTTTCCGTCTCTGTGAATCCGATCACTCATAGGTATGCCATATAAATGGAATCATACAAGGCCTTTTCTTCCATGAGTGGCTTGTTCCACTTAACATAATATCCTCATGTTATAGCATGTCTCAGAATTTCTTCCATTTGAAAGTTGGTTAATATTCCATTGTATATATTCATACTTGTTTACATATTTATCCACTGATGAATTCTTGAATTATTCCCACATGTTGACCATTACAAATAATGCTGCTATGAATATGGGTGTACAAATATCTGTTTGAGTCTCTGTCTTTTATTTACAGCCAGAGGAAGAATTTTTGGATCATATGAAGTTCTGTCTTTAATGCTTTGAGGACCCACCATATCATTTTCTACATTGTTTGTACAGTTTTACAACCCTACCCACAACGCTCAGGAATTCCATTTCTCTACATCTTTGTCAATACTTTATATTATATATTATATTGTGGTACTTTTTCAGTACTAGGGATTGAACTGAGGACCTTCACACATCCCCAGTACTTTTTAAATTTATTTTTAGACAGAGTCTTGCTAACTCCCTAAGTTGCCCAGGTTGGGTTTCAACTTGGTATCCTCCTGCCTCAGCCTCCTAGAGTACTGAAGATTACCACCATATGCCACTATGCATGGCTTGTTTTTTTTGTTTTGTTTTAAATAACAACATTCTTGATGGGTATGAAGTAGTAAATCATTGTGGTTTTGATTTCCATTTTCCTAATAATTAGTAACACTGAGCATCTTTTCATGTGCTTTTTGGCCATTTGTACATCTTCTTCAGAGAAATGTCTACTCAAGTCCCATTTTGAGCAGGAGTTGTTTGCTTTTTTTTGTTGGATTGTAGACATATTTATATACCTGAATATCAATCCAGTATCAAACATATGATTTGCAAATACTTTCTCCTGACCCCAGTCAAAGCACTGTGTGGTGTGGTCAGAACATGGAACTTAATGCATATACTGAGAAAGCTGTACTTAGAAATTAGCTGCAGTAGCTGAAGCGGGTCTGCCCTGAGGTTCATGATGGTGCAACAGATGACCTCGTAGCCGAAAGTTGCAGGCAGATGACCTGTGCTGGAGTCCTCTGGGAGTTACAGCTAGACGTTAGTGGACTCCACAGTGCCAGTGATTGCCATTTTGTAGACTGCCTTTCTACTTTGCTGATTTTGTCTCCTGATGCATAGACATTTAATTTTTTTTTTAAAGAGAATAGTAAAAAAAAAAAAAGAACAATAACAAAATGCTAACATCACAGACATAAACAAAACAAAGCAAGAACATTAAAAGTGATACAGGGTTTCAAAACAAAATGATAGGAATTAACAGTGGTTGTCATATTACATATTGTTATCTTCAACGAACTTGCTCAGATTACCGGATGTAAAAATGAAAGATTGTTCGAATGATTAAAGAGAATAAAAAATAATCATTAAATAAAACATTAGTGACAATACAGAGTTTCACTAGACAAGGTGGTGGGAATTCACCAATGGCTGTTCTATTGCATATCGTTGTCTTCAAATCAGTTGCTCAGATTATCAGATATAAGCATGCAAAATTGGTCAAAATATAGAAAATTTTAAGCATTAATTTTTCCTTTCAGTAAACCACCAGACATCAGCAGTACAGTTATCCCAGCTATCCTTCTATATACACACATATGTATATTATGTCTTCCTTTTTTTTCTTTATTTTTCTTCTTTCCCTCATCCCAATTGTTCCTTCCTTTGAGCAATTTCTTTCCCTTTCATATCATCTATTGTACATTTGGGGTTTTATTTATTCTTTCAGATTCTTACACTAGGGAGTCAATACGAAGTTTACACATGTGGGCCAGATTTATTTCACTTATGAGTATGGTCTCTAGTTGCATCCATTTGCCTACAAAAGCCTCAAGTTTATCAGACATTTAATTTTGATGAAGCCCAACTGGCCTATTTTTTCTCTTGTGGCCTGTAGTTTTTGGCTTATATTCAAGAAATTATTGTTAAATCCAAGCTTTCCCCATGTTTTCTTCTAACAATTTTATAATTTTAGCTCTTACATTCAGGTCTTTGATCCCTTTTTGAGTTAATATATATGTGTATATGGTATAAGGTCAGGACCCAGTTTCATTTTTTGGTATACAGAACTCTGGTTTTCACAACAGCATTTGTTGAAAGGACTGTTCTTTCCCCCATTGAATGATCTTGGCATCCTTGTTGAAAATCATGTGACCATTGTCTAGTTAGCTTTCTCTTGCTGTGACAAAATACTTGAGAATTATAATCTAAATTGTATAAAACCTTTCCTTTTATTTAATGTCACCCAAGCCTGTCCATCCCCACTGTTCCTTCCTGAGTTCAGACCATTATCATCTCCTTCACAGACCATGAAGTTTTCCTGAGTGTTCACAATGCTTTTAGTTTTACTTTTTCAATACATTATTCAAACTCCTGACAAATAGATTCTCTGATGCTGAGAATATTTCTAAGCCTCTGGGTGAGTTGAGGTGGTGGGGTGTGCATAATCAGAACTGGGGTTAATTGTGTTAAGCACCCAGGTTGAGTATCATGCTTCTGGGCCCATTCCCTTATCCATTTCTGCTACAGGTCAAATTAACAAGAATCTCTCACACACACACACACACACCACACACACACACACACACACACACACACACACACACACAACCACCTCCCGCTACCAGTGATGATAATTCCATTGTAATCTTTTCCTGGGCTCGCTCCCTGTGAATCAGTAGAAAAGGAAAGACATTCCTGGTATTTTTCAAATCTTAATGATGGCTGCCAGGGAAGGACCCAAAGTAGAGAGTAGACCTGAATAAGGATCATGATAGATCAAGCTGGAGGTTTAGAAGGAGCCTTCCCCGAACAAACATTTCTAGGATAAGGCAAGGCCACTACAATAAGATTCAAGAAGGAAATTTCCTTTTCTTGTAAAGTTTTGTTTAGAAAGCATAGTAGATTAACTAATGGGCAATTTGTAACTCCCAGCTGAATTGAATCAGTGTGGCGCTGCGTGTGGAAGGCCCACCTGAGGATTGTTGCCAACAGCATAAAAGGAGAACTGAAGGAGAAGACCGTATGCTGTTGATTCTCCTGGAGAAGCTTGTCACGCTGGTTTTCCTGATATGAACTCAGCTGTTATCATTGGTGAAACTCAGACCCTCTCTGTTGCTGAGGGTGGCTGTGATTCTCTTCAGGGGAGCTCCAGCCCTTACCTTGAGTAGCATTTCCTGGCCCCAGTGTAGATCCCTCAGCCTGCTGGCACAGATCCTTCATCCCACTGGCACAGACTTTGTAGCTTCCACTACTGACCTTTGGTCCTTCCCAGTCCAGATCCTTGATACAGATTTGCATGAAACATTGTTGTGGGCTCTAGACCTCCATTTGGACTCATGGGGGGCATTGCCACAGGATCCAGGCCCTCAGCTGGATTCTTTGGGTCTCTAGTGCATGGACAGATCTCCTGCACTCTTTGCATTTGACTGTTTGGGTGAATATTATAAAATAATCCTATAAATTGTGTGTCCTGTATAAAATCTATTTCCTTGCAAACCTTGACTACAACAGAAAGGTTCATTCTGAACCTATACAGGACATTTCCATCCTGGCTACCATGCAAAGCTACAGTAACATCACCTAAGGCAGTGGTCTTCAGCTTGAGGTACCCGAGCCTTAAATTCACATTAAGACTTTCTGAGAGGCTAGGAAGCCAACTTTCTTAATCATTTTTTAATTGGTTGAGATAGGTTTGTATCCTGCAGACTCTCTTTTCCTAGTCTATCATTTTATAGTTATACTTCTTTACAAAAAAGAGGCACATACTTCACTCATCCTAAATCTCTTTGTATACAAAAAAGTATGTGTGTGTGTGTGTGTGTGTGTGTGTGTGTGTGTGCGTGTGTTGGAGGGGTGATACTTTTGTGTTGAGAAAATGAATCATTAGATAACAAAAGGTTTCATAAATCAGATGTTTTCTGTTCTTTAATTTCAACAAAATTGAAGAAGGTAAGCAAACTGCCAGCTCAACAAAAACTATGTCATAAAAAACAATGTCATTTATGTGATTTTTTTGGACATATAATTTAAGAGGTGTTTGAAGCTGAAGTACATTTTTTATAGCAAAATATCTTCCATTGTTTCATTCCTATTAACTTATTTATATGAAATTTCTCAGGGCTTATGTATATACATAAAAACAAACAAAATAAATATAATTGATACTGCCTCATTTTAGCAATAATAATTTTCCATTTATGTATTCATGAGTCAAATATTTTATATAGCCTTCCATCTTATTAATACACTTATTTCAGTAAATTTTACTTCTTAGAGTCTGTGATATGTTTGTTATTTTAATCAACTGTGCACATATATTATTGTCATAAAAACTTAATGCAGATTTTAAAATAATATACAATGATCATAGCAAATGCTTAAGATACCATTTTCAT